TCATCAGTATTTGCACCTGGAAGCGTTTTTGTGGGCGACCCACAAGGCAGGTCATATAGTTCATCCGTTAGGTCGTCGATTCTACAGTTCAACTAAATTACTCAACAAACTCCGTTTCGATGGCTGCTGTTCTTTGATTTGAACGCTCTTCGTCCACGCTCCCCTTGACAATGGCTTTTTGTCTGCCGCTGAATGAAACAATTTCGAAAAATCGTAAATAGACTTGATGACTTTATTTAATTTTTATTGCATTCAGCCAGCGCATTTCCAATGCTCTTTTGTTCAATTTCGAGTATTGTCCTTATGGGATGGTTAAACAAAATCTTTGGATTTTTGGTAGCTGCTCGAACGCCTGCAATTTTCTAGGGCTAAAATTAATGGGTCAAAAGGATATTTCAAAACGGTTGGTGGCATTGTGAGGTTGCAAAGATTTTCAATGGTGGTGAAACTACAAAGATATAGCCTAATAAAAAGTTGGAAGAAAGTAGTTCTTAACTTTAATAAATAAACCACAGAAGAAAGGAAAAAAACCATAAATAATTTATTGTCATCATTACTTCGATCTAACTTGACCTTTTCTTAAAAAAAAGCTGATTTCCAACCTTAGTTATCCTCAAAAACTTATTAAAAGTTCCTACAGGAACTACAGACTCATAAGATCCCCAAGCAAAATTGTTACTTCCTCAGCGGTTGTAAAATTTATAAGCTTTTCGAACGCTGAACGCCGCACTTGACAATTAAAAACGCAAATTTTTTGCCATTGTCTTAATTTAAATAAATTAAATTTTATGACACTTGCTGTTGCAAGTGCAGTTTCAGCTTTAATTGGCTTCATGTCAGCCGACATGAGAATCCAACTATCCCCCAACCCTCTCTAAATAAGTAATCAAGTTGGGTTTCTGTGTGAGAATCCCCTCTGATATCGGACTCGGTTGACAGGGAAAACACCCACAAAAGTCGAAAGAAATTTGCATGGAACCAGCGGTACAAGGAAATACAATTAGCATCGGGTTTAATGTGCATTTAATGAGAAATAAAAATGCTGTCAGTTTGGATTGCGTGCGAGATCATATTTCAGGCAGTCTTCATCACTGTTAGATTGTAGATTGCAGATTGCAGATTTTTAGACTGATTTTATGTGTTTGCATGGCCGTTGTCTATATTCTGGGCATAAATCCCAATGATATTTACTAATTAGTTATATTATAATTTTTCATCATAACCACTGACCATGGCCAATCGCTCCCTTCTTTAACTATGTGTCTGTGTGTCTCTGTTGATTATCGCAATCATAAAATGTATATTTGTTCGCTTTGATGATGTTTTCTATTAACGCGATCCGTTGGGCCCCAGAGGATTGGCTTTTACATTGTTATTTAATAAGATTTTGATAGTTCTTGGCATAATGCACCGGCTCGATTTGTAGCTGGAACAGTGGTAAAAGATATTGGTTTTATGCGAAGAATTTAAGCCATTTGATTAATTTCCAAAGATGAAAACTTTAGAAACTTTCTTCTAAGGATGTTTTTTGTATATTACTATCATGTTACTCATATACTCGACCGTTTCGTCTATAAGTTCTTTGCCATATTCATTGAAAAAAGTTAAGTATATATATAGCTTAAGCTACGTTACTTACAGTCTAACTTCCAGCCAGATTGTCTTCACCCTTCGACCCACTGTTCATTTATGAAGAATTACCACAAAAAGGCATGAAAACCAGACCTGCATTATATTTCTGCAACCTGTAATGAAGTAGGTGTTGTGGCTACATGGTCCTCTTCTCCACTCAGCCAGTATTAACATACCCAGCCAAGAGAGTCGAAGGTGGAAGGAGGAGGGAGGTAGATCTACATTTCTTCATCGGATTCCGGTTCCCTGGGCAATCACAAGCTGGGCATCAGAGACATTCTATGGTCACGAGCTTTAATGAGTTGCGAGCCGTAAATTAAATTCAAAAATGAAATATATAGACCGGTGCTGGGTTGTGGGCCCCGCCTCCCGTCCTGCCCACTTGACCGCCCACTCCGAGCAGAGCAATTGCATGATCACATGCAAAGTGGCGGGAAGTTAACCAATTGCCCCCGCGGAAAAGACGGAAGGGTAGCGGCGCCACTTTTGCGCTTCGCAACCCACAGACACTTCGTTATAAAACAATTTAATTTCCGAAAGGAACAAACAAAGAAAATACATTAAAAAAAAAACAACGAAAAATACCAGAGTAACTGAAACTGAACTGAGCAAAAAAAAGGCGAGCAAAATATTTACAAAACTAATTTTTAATTAATGACCAGCAGGAACGGGAAGTGGTTAACTTGCATGCTCGACCTTTTCATATAATTTACAAATTGGCTCCCTTTTTGCATTGGCCAAATGCTAATCAGGCTTCTTTGTTTCTCCATATTTTTATTCATTTTTTTTTTTTTTGTTGAAGGCAAATTAAAGTTGCATAATTTGGTATTGGAGAACACCTGCTGGTGGTTATTGGGTTCTGGGTTTTCGGCATTCGATTGTGGTCTGCACTTGCATTCATTAAGTACACGCAAATGTAATAATTCCAAGTTCTTTGTATGATTTTAAGGTCAATATTGTTGTGTTAGCTATTGATTTGATGAGGGATGGAGGTGGCTATGTGGTTATGAGTCAGAATTTTCATTTTGTAGAAGCCAAAGGGAAGGGAACTTTAATAATATTCACACAGCAAGTACTTCAACGTGGGTTTTATTAACTATTAATAAATATTTTAAAAATCTGTTTATGAACATATATTTGTCACACATTATTTGTATTAAAAGTAAATATATTGAACCCTGAATGAATCATATTAACTTTTTAAATAGTTCAATGGCAAGCCCCACCTCCTTGCCTAGCAATTCCTAGTATCGAACCGAAGGCCTTCTTTGAAAAAAGTAACTAAAACAAGGTGTATCCATATATATGCAGCAATGAAATAAAATGTCTAACTAAAAGTATGTGGCAGAGGCAAGTTCCACAATGCATATTCATGGGGAATACGTGCCGCGCCGGCCTCCCCCTTTACCATTTTCCGGGCTGGAAATGCCAACTGTGTGCTGAACTGATAAATTAAGCAATTCCAACTAAAATGCAATGCATTGCAAATTTTCCACTTTTTTTTTGTAGTAGTTGTAGTAGTAGTTTGCGACTAGAAAGTTGGATAGAAAAAAAGAAATAGTCTGATGAAATTTATGCCTCATTCAGGTTAGTTTTGATCTCTTTGATGCCACTGCATGACATGAAGAAAACGAGAAGCAGGTGTTAGGCTCGTCATATCGGTGATTTAAATGGAATGGAAACGGAGTGCCTTCCTAGGCGACCCATCACCTTAAAGCTATAATTTCGCATCATCTTGAGACGGTAATTAAATGTGCTTTAATTTGTATAATGCAGTTGACTTAAGCATGTAGAACTTTTAGACTGGAGACTTAGGCAAGACTGCTTCCGAATGAATATTCAAAATCTTCTTTTCGCTCACCTTTAGAAAGTTCCCTGGGAAATGCCAATTGGGGGTCTCAAACTCAGTGGCTCTGAGGGTTTAAGATGCCCTCGAGGGGCCAAAAAGATTTATCGCTATCCATCTACAATGTTAGTTTTACGCGTTAATGGGGTTTATGAGCTCCAATTTTCTTATATGCAAATTTTCTCCCCTTTTGGTAGGGAAATGAAAATGGCTGAGATGCAGAAATTCCTGTGAAATGGTCGTCGCTTGTCTCGTAATTACCAGCAATTTTCCATGAATTTATTAAAATAAAGGGCAAAAGCCTGGCTTAAGTGCCCAGGGCTAACATCTCGCGTCCCCATCCCAACCATCCCTTGATTCCACCCAACGCTATCCATTCCCAGTTTGATTCCATCTGACTACAAACAAACAGACCATAAATAGTATAAATTTCCACATGACACGCGATGATTATGCGCTTTTCATGCAAACAAGTGTCTGCGCCAGAGGGGCGGTACGAAAGTTCCAGGGAGGTCGATGGGAGGGCATCTGCATCTGTTTTCAACATCATTTGCGTATATGTCGAGCTTCTGCCCTGCTAATGAATACAGTGGTAACTAGTAGATGAAGAACGTGCTGCTCATCATTTAAGCTTTAAGATATTTTTGATGTTTATAGCTTGGAAAGCCTAAACCTATGGTTTATTCCACATTTCCAAAAAATCTAATATTCCTTACCTTATATCACTTAGCCAATCCCACCTGTACTTTCGACTTGCCAACTCACAGAGATAGTAAACAATTTTTAATTGCTCAAAGCAGGAGCGACAATGACAGCCAGCAAACCTCGTTCCACCGCCTTCACCAAATCGCAGTGAATTCATTTTGTTTTGTCGGCTTCCCATTGATAGAGTGTGGGTACGGGTACTGGAAATGACCCGGGTTGGACCCCATCCCTCGCCCCTAGTGGCAGCAGCTCGTTTCATGTGGCTCATCTGCATGTTGATATCTTGGTCATGAGATCGAATCGGTCCAGTTGCCGTACTGCGGGTGTCTGGTTCTTATTAGCTCTGCACGCGCTTCCCTCTCAGTTTTGGAATTCCATGAATTAATTTCAGTTTTGCATGTTGTTATTTATTAAAATTTCAGATCGCCTTTTCCAACATTTCCAGACGCTTTGCGATTCTTTCGTGATGCCCTTTCATATAAGCCGCTCAGCTAATTTCACAAACAAATTCCATTCCTTGTGATTGATATCTTTGAGATACTTTCTGTATATTTCTGGATAAGAAACCTAAAAGGCTGAAAGGCTGAATGTTTCTCCCCAAATAAACAATATTTTTGTATAATTTTTTGTAAGATAATAATTTTTATTTTTTTCATTGTGAGTTTTTCATTTTTGTCTTTTTGTAGTTATACATTTAAAAATTCTAGTGTCCTTCATGCTTTACAATTGTAAATGTTTTCTTGTTTCTTTTTCTTTATAAATTCAATTGGTTTTTACACATAAATACGATAGATTTAAATTAGATTTTGTTTTTTGTTTTTTGTTTGTGTTAGTTTACTTGCCCATAACATACAAAGTACAGCTAGTTTTATATTGTTTTTCTTGGTTTTCATTTTCTTTTAATTAAAATTAAAATCATTCAAATTGATTATCACAGTATTCACGCGAAAAATAAATATGCTTAAAAGGTAATCCATTTTTGTTACGTGGAAAGTGCTTAACTTTATGATTATTCGCTAGGAATTCAGGAATGTTGACTTTGAAAATTGTGCAGAGACTGTACTTAAATATTAGTAATACACAAATGCCAAGAACTGTCTTAAGGAAATGGAATTTAAAAGAAGAAAATACCATTTCCTTATGATCTGAAAAATGTTGGTTATCAAGTGGACTTTGAACTGTCAACTTGATTAGCAATATTTTGGCTTTGACTTTTAATAGAATTACATTAAAATAAATACCATTAATAGTTAACATAAGCAAACCCCACTTTGTTCAGGAGTTGATAGCTATCCATAGTACAGAATTATGCTAGTATTTGATGTGTTTGCGACTTTGAACCTGCAAGATGATAAGAAAACGGAGAGATAAGGTTAGTAAAAAATTATAAAAATATAAAAACTAAATTAAAAAATAAATAAATTAAGTGAAATAAGACTTTAGTTCAGAAGGAACATCTATATTTGAAAAGTATCATCAAAGAAAGATTACACACCTGCTGTTGCTAAGCTTCCTTAGATTTCTTCCTTCTTTCTCATTGCACTGTCTTTGTCCCTAGATGTGACCTCACTCTAAACCCGATCCTTGATCCCTTAGTGCATCATGTAGGACGACTCATCGTCATCAGCACCAGTTGGACTGTCCAGAGAGGGATTGATACGCTTCTCCTTCTGCCGGCGATTGCAGAACCACACACGGACCACCTCCTTCTCCATGCCCAGGCGATCGGCCAGTTGGGTAATCTCCTCAGAAGTGGGTTTTTGGTTTGCCAGGAAGGCCTTCTCCAGAGCACCGCGAATGGTGGTCTCAATGGAGGTGCGCTTCTTGCGACGGCGGCCAATGATCTCGGGTGTGCTGACGGTGGCCTGTAGAGCCGCAGGATCAAAGACACCACCGGTGGCTTGGATAGTGCGATCGGCATCGTCCAACCACTTTTGGAGTAGCGGCTTCAGCTTGCACATGTTCTTGAAGCTCAAATTGAGGGCCTCGAATCTTGAAATGGTGGTCTGCGAAAAGTCATTGCCATAGAGTTTGCCCATGGCCAGACCCACATCGCCCTGGGTGAAACCCAGTTTGATCCGACGCTGCTTGAAGGTCTTGGCGAACTGCTCCAGTTCCTCCAGATCGGTGGTTTCTTCGGGCGATGGTTCACCCGCTGCCCGAGCAGCTGCAGCACTGGCCACCGTCTTGGGCTGCGGTGTGGTGGTGCTCTGGTTTCAGCTGAGTGCCACTTGTGGGTGTACTGGGTGTCAGCATTCCACTCAGTTTCAAACTAGCCGCCGAACTGGGCGGTGTAATCTGGAGTGGGTGGTGGTGGTGCATCTGCTGGGGGGAACTGGCCGGACTGCGAATGGCAATGGGACTCCTTACCGAGTGGGGAGTGGAGCTGCGTGGCTGCTGCATCATCTTGTGGTTCAGCTGCAGTGGCTCGTCCTGTTGCCTCTGCTGTTGCTTCTGCAGGGCCTGTAATTGCTGGGTGGCTTGGCTCAGAGCCTGCAGTTGACTCTGCATTAGGAACTGGGCAGCTGCCACCTGGGTGGTCAGTGCCGGATCATCCTGTGCCAGTCCCAGGGATCCACTTCTCAGCAGCTCCATGTAGCTGTTAAATTGCTGTGTCAATGCCACTTGACGTTGTTGCAGCAACTGATGGAACTGGGCAAAATCTTGTGGCGATAGTGAGCCAGTCAGCAGTGGGTTATTCATACCCAGACCAGCTGCCGCAAGTTGAGCCTGTGGCGAGGACAATCCCGGAATGGCCAGCAAAGGCGATATGCCACTTCCCATTGAGGAAGCCATAGCGGCGGCCGCTGCAGCTGCTGCTGCTGCCATGGAATTGGGTGTGGTGGCACCACCGGAGGGCGGCAAAACCGGAGAGATCATGGGCGGCACTGGCGAGGGCACCGAAATCACCGGAACCTGTGAAGCCATCTCTGATTTCACCGAATTCGCCGGCGATTGAGTGCTGTGACGACTGTTGTCGCTGGTCAAATTCAAGGCTCCACCATTGGCATCCTCGTAATCCTCATCCTGCTTGTACTGATGGTGGTTCAGGTGGTTCAAATGATGAGGATTGTGGTGATGGTGAGCCGGGTGAGGCTGCAGCGACATCAGCTGTCGTTTGGCCTGCTGGTGGGTCAAGGACAGAGCAGGACTCAAAGGGGAACGGCAGCGATCGCTGGAGGTGCCCACACTCGAGTTATTATCATCGCAATCGGAAGCTGTAAGATAAAAAGAAGAAGTAAAGGGTTAAGGAAATGAAAAACTAGAACAATTTTTCGCTATTTTATTTATTTCTTCTTTATTAATTTATACTAAGCCAAAAGAAAAACTTTCCCCAAAGAAACCCCAAACTCTATTACAATCAACCTTAGAAAAAAGGCGTAACCAAAACCCAAAATAGAAAATGTATTTTCCCATCTCCAGATGCTATGCAAAAATGATTCACCCTGCGGGGACCTGACCATCTCCCATTCGAATGTCCTTTTGCATAAATTTAGCATAGGCCACACGAGCGTTTTGTATAATTTTCGTTCAATTTCATAGTCCGTTGGTTTTTTCGGTTTCGAGTGAAAGCCTTTCACGTGACCACCCACCCACAGCAGTTTATTATGCGAAAATGTCTACGGGTTTCTTTCCTTTCACCCCCTTCGGAGACCATAGAGCATAGTTTACATAGTTCGTACCTTGACATCAAATGGAATTCTCATGTTTTCTTTTCATTTTGGCTGACGCTTTTAGCCGCTTTTAAGTGGCATTTTAGCATTTCAAATGCCTGGCCAAGCGATTTGTATAAATTTGCTATTTGTATGCATTTTATTTATACGACAGAAAAAATGGGAGAAGTGAGAGGGGTGGGTGGTTTCAGTCGAAGGCCAATTGATTTGCAATAATATTTAAATACATGACGAGTTCATTTTTGAGGCTAAACTAGCAGAAACTAGATGGCCAGACTTCCTCCCTCACGTAAATGGCAATCAAAGGAGTTAAACCCTTTGAAGTGGCTTCTGGTCTTCAAAGATCCCTAAAATTTCGCATTGCCATCCCCAGTTATCCTATTCCCCTCCTCCCACAACCAATTTCCACATCCTGTCCAGTGCTGGCAATTTTTGCATATGTTTGCCTGGGCTACTTTATGACTTGTGCGCTCGCCTCCTGATGCCCCGAAACCCAATGGCAATCTGAATCCTCATCCTCGATCCGTTGGTGGTTCAGTTGCTACGTGAATTTGATGACTTATTCGCCCAAGTGGACGACCCACCGACCACATGGTCATCCTTTTTACATATGCGACCGTAGACTGGCCAGGAATGATTTTTTTTCGGTTTTCCTTGGACGGGCTACGTGCGTCCATTTGGTATTCAGATGATGTGCAAATTCGATTTGTATGTGTTGTGTGAATGGTTATTGGCAGTGGCGGAGAAGGTTGATGTTATGAAAGGGATTTTAAGGATTCTTAGGCAATTGGGAGAAGGCTAATTGAAGGTTTAATATAGAAGCAATGATGATTAAACTTTATATTTATAAAAAGTAAAAGAGAAGTACGTCTATCCTTGCAAAGAAAGCATTTCTTTTAAGAGTATAAATCAAGCACCTATAGGTTATATATCAGAAAGAGACATACACCTGATATCCCCAAAAGTAAAACCCCCGTTTGAAGGACGCCCCTGTTCCATTTAGCACAACCAATAAAAAAAGCCAAATGGTCAGTTTGACTGCACATTGAGCTACCCCAAAAGCGCTCCCACATACGGCCAGCATAACGGAATAATTTTTGCATAAAATATATGTAATATATATATATGTTCATGTTCGTGAAAGAAATCACAGCAACTGTGTCCAGTCCCACACACATACACCAACAGACAGCCTCCCTCACACATATTCGAATTCAAATCAAGCGAAATGCTGTCAATAATGTGGTAAAAAAAAAAAAGTGAAAATGTTAAGGGGGCCCAGAAAAAGGTTGAAGTTGGTTTTTGTTCGGACCGTGACTAACGAAGTCCATGAAATTTGAAAAGTGTGAATTGCAAATTGAACGCAGCCTTCTTCCAAGAACGAGTTATGAATAATAATCGAAGGTTTTATGAATCTATCAAAAATTTATAGAGCACCTAAAGTAAGACTTTCAAAAACACAATGAGTCTTTACTGTAGGGGTAACAATTAGGGGAATTGACAGACCCAATTGTCACCTCAGAAACTACTTAAGAAGCTGTTAAGTCGAAACACCCATTTAATAAGACATCAAAATCAACTTAAAGACGCCCATTTCCCCCTCTCGGTTAAATCACAGCCTAAAAGGGCTGTGACAAAAGTTTTGACAGGCCAATGTGCGAGGGGATATCCTCCCTACAGAAACGAAGAAAAAAACAAACCAACCCTAATCCCAAACCAGATATATATACCCTATATATCCAGTGCCTAGCGCGTGGCTGTCGCAGGCAAGGGTTGATATTCCGTTTGGTTTATTGTCTTTTTGGTTGAACCGAAAACATGCGAGTGATTTAGTGAAACCGAGAGATGCCCCAAGCAGATGTTCCAGACCAGAAATATATATATACATATATATATACCCATATATGAAGTGGACAAATCTCGTAAATCGTTTTCGGACAACAGCTGATACTTTTAAAATGGGGGAAAAATAGAGGAAAACACACTTACCATTCGACTGAAGTGGCGACGGTGAACGCGACAGGCGACTGATATCTGAAAAATAAAAGGGAAAACACAAATTTTAGACCGACTAAATAGAGACCACTTAAAGCTAAAAGTAAAATATAACACACGTCGCGAACATAAAAGTGCTTCCTAGAAGCCAAAAACTCTCAACTTAACGATACACAAAATCGATATTATCGATATACAGCCAGGACTGACCAGTCTGGTCCGGTCGACACCGTTGCCTAATAAAAGGATATTTTTATGGACCTCCTTGAGGGGCATTCGAAATGGAGCTGAAATGGAGATCAAGGCACACCTGGTGTCCATGTAGGATTTGAATGGCTGGCTAACGGACAACATTCGTGCTTGCTGCATTTTCATGTCTGGTGAAATTGAGTTTTGTTTGCTCTCGCTGGCTAATTTACGAGTGACTTCTCTAAAATGCATTGGAAATAGAGTGCTCTTTATTTTTGGGGTGTAGAATGACATTTTTGAGGCGGGGAGTAATGCATTTTAAAGATTTCTTTTGGGAGGTTCTATTTCTTAAGTATTGGGTTGGTAAAAATGGTTTATATTGATATGATAACTTAGTTTAATAACGCTTTCTCAAATTTCTTAATGCTTTTCTTTTAGTTACAGATCCCGAATTATGACCCTATAACTTGAATAACTTTCCCTTCGATTTGGCTACCTAAGATCCTTAACCCAATGAATCGGTTTATCTGAAATGGATTTCTTTCCCTTTTGCCACCACAATCTTGCCTCACTTCTGGCACACTTCTGTCGCCTTCATCTGGCCACGCCTTTGACCCGCTAATTAAGCGGCACAACTGCTGCCCGTTGAAGTGGTGCGGCATATGCCCCGATACAGAATTTCGACTAGACTTAGGTAACTGAGAAGAATTTTACAGAAAACCCGACGTTAAAATGCCACATAAATTATGTAACTTGGGAGGTGGAGTATGGCCAGGAAATTCAACACCCTCGCGCGTGTCCAGCACGAGTGAAATGAGCATTTCCGAATTGCAGCATTTGAATGGTTTTTCGAGAATTTTACAATTTTTGGCAGAGAAATTGCAAAAACCACAGGCGGCTGCCGCCACCCCCCAAAAACTAAATAAAATTTTAGAGAATCGCCCAGCGGGGGTGGCGGTTTATGAGGCTGAAGAAGATGAAGGGGAATCGGACTGTGTGGCTCACACAATTAGTCAATGACCTCGACAGTTGGCTGGCTGGGGGTGGCTAAAACCAGCACTAACGCACACAGCCAGTTCAACCTTTCAACCAACCGACTATATATGCTATATGGTCATCACGTGCGCAGACTGAGACTGACTATCGATTGAGTCGTCGTAGTCGTCGTCGGCGGAAGCTGCGTGTCTTGAACTCTTGACCCCTCCATTTCCAACACTGGGGGCCATAAGCTGTATCGACTGGGAGCCCCCCGAAAAGTAGCCAAAAAAAAAACATAAATAAATAAAATAAAATATAATAGAACGAAGGGAAAAGCAAACACAGAAAGTGCGTGCTCTTTGGCCTTTTGTCTCTGCCTGTATATTCGTAGCAAAACAAAACTAGCAAAATCACAAAGAGAGAAAAGCTTCAAGTGCGGCGAAATGAAAGCTTGATTAGAGGATATCAGAGAGAGAGAGAGAGTAGGGAAATAATTAGGGAGAGACGCTCAGGACTCAAAATCATACAAAGTGTTATTAACCCTGCAGCTATTAACAAAAAATACTTTATAAATAATACTTAAAAACCCAAATGCTCAATTAACATTCATAACAATATATTTTAGTCTTAAAACCTTAAACTAAATGCTAATTAAATATGCAACTAGTCTATGTAAGCTTTCGCCTAGGTTTTAAGTTCTAACAGACCCTTGAAAAGTCAACAAACCTTATTGACATTTAATTTAACACTTAAAAAGGATTACAAAACCATATTGTCTGCATTTTCTATCAATTTCCGCTTTGCAAATTGTAAATCTTAATCGATATTTCATTTATTTCCATTGAATTCCAAGAATTACCCATAAAAAATCGCTGAGCCAACGAATACACGCCCTCTTTCTTGATCGGCTTTTATAGCGGCGATAGCTGATGATAAGGCTTTTTAGTAGAGCAAGAAAAACAACAAAAATTTATAGAAAATTCTGCATGAGCTCATGGACAGTGACTAAAAATAATGTTATTATTCAAGTTGGACATTGTCGTCAATTGCCATTGCCGTAATCGGGCAAATATATATATTAATTTAAAACTGATTGGCAAACCAGTATTTCTCGGCGGGCTCCGATTAATTTATTAAAATCATCAAAATATGACGATACTTGTTTACCTTAAGAGGTGGTGGACTTCTTGAGAATCTTTGAGTATTCTGCAGGTGTGCAAAACGTTACTTCGATTCTGGTTTTCTAAGCGATAAGCAGCGACTCGTGATAAGCAAATCGTGTACAAGGTGAACTCTTATAAGAATATCATGAGACATATATTAGCTATCGTTAGTTTTCTGACTTAGATTAGACCCTTCATTTGCGTCACGTGCTCGAAACGAGGCAATGAAGTGAGTACTCCTGAACGATCAAGCGGTGTAAATTTATTTAAAAGTTAAGGGAAAAAATCCCCATTTTTATCACCTTGAGACAATCTCATTAGAATGTTGTAGAAGTCACCTGCTTATCTGGCGACTTGTATACGCAAGCTAAATACCAACTTAATCACTTCAGTCTTTTTACATAATCAATCATAAAACCATTCCAAAGTATCCGTCTTGAGTCCGTGCCACTTGGTGCAACTCAAGTATGGCTCATCGGTATTATTACGCATATTTCACGATTGATTTTCGTTGTTGTTTCTGTTTTTTACAATATTTGTCATCGAAATGCGCTTTTTTATTGCCCCGCATTTGAAAACGATAATTGATAAGGTAACAAATTAAAAGTATTGTTTACAAGCGGGCCAAGCGGTTCCATTGAGTGCCTTTCGGTACCCCCATACCAGTCCCATTCCCATTTACATGGTCATATTGATGGGGTCTGGTCTGTGGTTGTGCAAGAAATGCGTCTTTAATAAATATTTTTTTATGGTCTCTGGTATTTGTAATACCCATTTAGTAAGTTCCTTTAGTAGTGGTTGTTGTAGTTCTCGCCTGGCACCGCCAGTCTTCAAACTTGAGACCCGTCTTTAAGTGGGTCGCTGGGAGTTAATATTTATGGCGGAGACACCTGTGCCGGTGTTTATTTTCAATAAGCAGATTGCACTTTTCCTTTGTTCTAGCTTGTGTTTGGGCATTGAGTCTTGGGTTTTTTTCTTTATATTTTCTTGTATTTGTAGAGCACCTGACTCAGCCATGGTAATTTTCACGAGGTCTGGCTTTGTAATACAGCGGTGAAAGGCACTAACGCTTTGGGGAAATCGAAATTGGGTGGCTTTTAGTTGGGTTTTTGTAGGGAGATTTTCTGGTGAGTTTTTATTGGAAATGTTCTTATTGGGGACATAAGTGATTTATCACCGGATTACGCTATCAATTTTCAAGTTTATCTAATTAAAAATCTTCTTAGTTTGAAATAAGTTTCTGTTTTTTGTGACAAAAGGATTTTAGTTATTATTTTTAACAGATTTTAATTCTTTTACTTTCAAACTTTATGAGAAAACGACATAACTGTAGGTTGACTATATTTAATAAATATTTTTAAAGAAGTGTTTATTTGAAAGAAAATTAAATTAAACGAACTTAAGAGGAACATAATTTGAAAGAAAGGTGAGAGAAGAAGGATAAATGATATCAAAAATCAGTTACAAAGGAAAAGGAAAGTTTTCCCGCATATTAGTACTACAATATCAAAAGATGAACTTTAAAAAAAGGTATTTACAAGAGACAAATCTTTATAAATGTTAAATTGATATCAAAGAATATAATAACATTTTATAAATGATATAATTATAAACAAGTTTCTGAAAGACATCATAAAAGGCCATAAACTTACATCGATTCTGCATTATGTGAACGGCTGCCTCGCGGGCGCTGGTCGGTGTGGATTTAAGCAAATCGCACTTCAAGGAGTTCTTATTATCCTCGGGACTTGCGGTGTGCCAACGTAGCTCCGACATAACCATTTTCACAACTCAATAGGGCCAAAATGTTTATATGCGATATGTTCAATGTTCTGAGCACTGTAAATTCACTATAAGCACTTTCCTTCTTAACTGATTGTTTCTTATTTGCTGTTTGCTGTTTATTAAGTTTGTTGTTTTAGATTTAAGTTGATTTTTTTTAGTTTTGGTAATGCGCCGCTTTCGTGTGGACGCGTTCGTGTCTCGTGTGAAACTGACAACAGAGAAGCGGTCGCAGCGGCAGGATAGCTCTCAGCGAACTAACGGATAATCGCTCTAGGCCTGAATGTTTGGGTTCTGTTCTTATGACGATGATGATGGTGCGATGATGATGTTGATGGTCTGCTGTGTCTGCTCTCTCTCTTTCTCGCTCTCTCTCAGTGCTCTCTCTCTCTCCTTATCTCTCTCTCCCTTACTCTCCTTTTGCCGGCGTTTCGGGTTTTTGAGTTTGAAAAATTTGTTGTGTTTGTTGCACCCCTAAAAAAGTCTTAAGGGTTGATTTTTCCTCTTTTTTACAACACAGACACTAACACATATACCAATGCAGAGGGGGGATAAAAAACCGACTGGGGAAATGGTGGCGTATACGTGATAAAAAACGCGATTTTAGCGCTACACACGTTTAACTGGTTCCACTTTTGCGCGTCGACTGCAGTTGAATTGGAACTTGGGGCAACAAGCAGAATCGCTGGCAGAAGAGCGAGAGAGCTATGAAGAGCTTTGGGGCGCGCTCGCTCTCTCCCTTTCTCCCTGTCGCCCGCGGTAGCATTAGAAATGCGTTCCACACACAAGAACACACACGCACACGCCACAATCCAATTGGACTGGAGAGGAGAAGTTCTTACGCTCGCTCGCTCTTCTTCTCCCTCTCGCTCTCGCTCCCACTCTCTCTCTCTCTCACTGGCGAAGCCGAGTGAATTGTAAACTAACACACACATTTTATGCGCTTTAAAATGTAGAGTGTGAGAGTGTGTGAGTGTGGGGGCTACCTCGTTTGTGGTTCGCTCGTGGGCTCCATTGTTGTACGTGTGTATAAAATGGGAATGGGTGTGTGTGTGTGTTTGTGCTTGTGTGCGAGATGCGTGCGCTTGTTTGAGGCGTGGCTTAAAATTTAAATTTGGCTTTCAAATGCCAATGGATTTTTTATACGGCCCCGCTCCTTTGGAGCTGTATGTGTGTATGCATATTATTTTATGATTGGCGAGTCAAAAATGCTGTCCATGTGTGAGTGTATGTTTGTGGGCTATGTAAAAATATTTTAAAGCTGCGTCGACGTCGACTGCAGCAGAATCAAACCACCCCCCACCCCTCTACCAAAAAATAAACACAAAAAAACCTCACTTTATATTTGCAGCATTGTCGTCCTCTGATTCTGCTCTTTGTTCTGGCTCCCGTTTCATCTCCTCTCTCCCTTTTCGCAATTTTATTTGCCATTCATGTATGCACACATGTGCGGAGGGCCCCTACTGCCAAGAAGTAAGGAGCAGAGAAACCCCCTTACACCCACTTACTTCCCCTCTGAAAGTTGGCATCTCCTTTTTCCAGCTTGCCACCCACTTGGCAGCATTCTCTTTACTTTGGGCTTTCTTTGCTTTCTGGCAGATTTTCTTTACCGTTTTCCGTTTTTTATTATTTTTATGATTTGTTTTGATTTTGGAGTTACTTTGAGAGGAAACGACATTTATTGGCGAGAAATATTTTAAGTATAAAATAAACATAGTTGGCTTGAGAAAATTAAACTTTAACTTTGTTTATTAAAATGTTAAATTTTTGAATGGATTGTTAAGTAATCCATTGGTTAAAGACTTTAATTTAATTAAAAAATTCCAGAAAGGGAAAATTTTACTATAAAGATTGAACAATTTCAGTGACATTTCCCACAATTTAAATAATTTCTTCATATATTATATTCCCAATAAATCTATAAAACCAAATAGCTCTCCAAGAACTCCTGTGACCTGAAAAATCATTCCCACAGGTCAACTTCCCTGAATTTCTTTTTTATGCATATTGAAAAACAAACGTTTTTTTTAATATTCCCAAGAACTGCGCAGACAAACAAATTATAATGAATAAGTCAAATTTTCAAGGCGACATAAACAAAATCTTGGCCATATAAAAAACTAGCCCAACTACCTGGTCAATACACATATATTTTTTTATGCCTACATCGCTTTGTTATGGAAAAAAAATCATAAAAAATTGTTACAAAGTCGTAAAAAGTCAAAAATTACAAACAGGTAAGATGAAAGTAAGGTAGAGGTGGCTGAGACTGTGACTGGGTCCTGACAAGCGTTAAACGCTTCTTCATCAATGATAGCAACCTAGGGTACGGTTTAGTTTTCCTTTCGGTACGAGAGATTTCGCGCTCCTAGCCATCTTTTTTACGACGCAAACTGGCTCGATTTCCACGTAAATCATAAAAAACATTCGATACGTTTCGGTATCTCAGGATACAGATACGGATACCGAGTCAGAAAGTCGGTCTGTTGGCCAGCATCCTGGGTCTTCATGTTAATTAGCCCAACAGCCGACCGACTACTGGTCATCCGCTCTCTCACGTTCGCGAAGGGCTGTTAAAAAAAGGATTTCTGGGATGTCCTACAGGGTATATGAGGGTGTATTAGGCGGAAAAAAGCAATGTAATTTTTGATGTATTCTCCTGTTTTTAATCTTAATTTATAACTTTTTACAGTATTTTATAATGTTTTGGTAGTTTTGTTGTCATTAAATTTAAAATTTAAGAAGAGTCATGTTTCTTTTGATAAAATATGATTGCTTTAAATCAGTTAGTCTCTTTAAAAATATAAATCCTAGGGTATCAAGATAGTCGCCAGGTTAAATCCCCCTTCGCTGCTCTTGACTTGCTGACCGTTTGACTTTTTTATTTGCGTGAACTCGAGTTGTATGTGGCCTACTGTGCGTGTCCATAAAAAATATCAAAACTATTTGTCGGCCCGCCCGCTATCTCCCTCTCTTTTCCGTCATAGCCCCACCCTTTTGCACGCTCACCTCACACTGCGAGGCGTCCTTGCGGAGCATCGTAAAAGAAAATTCGTTGCCGAGAATTACTTAAGTCAATGTAGGCAAAGATCTTAAAAAAAGGCAAAAAGTCCAGAAGAGTTGAGCCTGGCAAACAACATTTTTATTGGGGCAGCCGGAAAATATTAAAAAAAAAAAAGAAAAGAGAAAAGGAAAGGGGATTTTCCGTAACCATTTGGAGGGTACTTGGTAAATTGTTTGAGAAAATAATGAAAAGTGAAATGTCTAATGAAGTCGTAAAGTCTTTTGGGCCAACAAACATGTTGGCATGTGTTTGTATTTTAGTGAGATCTCCCTTTTTTGGGGCTTGTACTTGTGGGTTTTTCTTCTGATTTTTAGATTTTAGTGCATTGATTAATGGGAAAAGGAAACGGAATTTAGACTAAAAAGAAAGTTTATATATTTTTCTGGGACTAAGGGATTTTATGGCGCTAGTTTAAGGGCAGATTTTCAGTAAAGAAAAGTCATGTTCCAACGAAAGGTTTCTGAATACTTTCCTTGATTTCAAATGCATTTTCATAATCATTCCTAGGCACATTTTCAAAAGATTCTATTTATGCACCCTTTCAGTAACTATAAATTGCAGTGGGAAAACTCACCCTAAATTCAACGAGAGTGTGTGCGTTAATTAAATTTGTCCCTCATTCTAATCAGCAGCTTAGCATCTCCTAAAATCCGCACACAATTTTGCTTGAAATTATTGGAAATTTGAGCTCAACTAACTTGGGGATGGACCAGAGAGGGTAGATCTCAGCTGGATGGAAGGAGGGAAAAACGGAAAAGCTGCAGCCAAGGACAGTCCACAAATATTCATGATCCTTGGCACAGCATTCCCCTAAGGTTTTTTACATATCTCCGATGGCAACTTCGATTCAGAGTTTGTCTTTGTTTTGGGTAACATGAAGAAGCACCAAATCAACGATATGGAGGATGACATTCAATGATTCTTATTTATGTCCTTAAAGAACATCTCGGTCTGTTTTTCTTTTTTGGGTAGAAAAGAACAGAAATCAATTGCGTTGTCTGCCTACCTCGATAAGGAAATATTCCTTAAAAAACACACGATATAACGAGGAGCTAAACAATGGAATGGTAAAGAACATGCTACGGTATTTTGCTGGCATTTGACACCCCAGAAGTAAGGACACACATTTGGCAGGACCCTCAGGTAGCCCTTAGAGTACCATAGTATCCTGAGATATGCATATAGAACGAGGCGTTTACCTACCCCCAACGGCATCATTTTTTTCCGCTTTTTTATGCAATTTTTAGCATGAAAATTTCGGGTTTCTTTCTATTTGCTTAGGGGTAGTTAGGAAACTTTCTCTGCGTTTCTTTTTTTCGGGAGTTTTATAGCGAGTTTCCTTAATTGCGTTTCTTTCTATTTTTTCCTTACTATTCTGAGTGTACCTAGATCTCCGATTGTGGTTGTTAACGGTTTTTGATTTATTTTCCGCATACTCTCTTTTTTTTGGGACTTATTTTGCGGAAGTTTCCCACGAGTTTTAAGGTAAAAAACGGAAATCTTTTTGCAAGCCTTCAGCTGGGTTTTGGACAGAGGACAGTTTCCTAATGAAGTATTTGTTTAGGGTAATTGGAGGGCAGACATCAGGGATAGGAAAATGTTCCAAGATTGTAAATGAAAATGGGAGGCTAGCCTAGAGGACAGGAATTGTTGACTTTAGGAGACATTTTAGATGTTGATAAATTATGAATAAAAATGCCCAAATAAATCTTACATCTCCATATATAGCCCACCTTCAACCCATTACTGGAAAATCTTCTTAACTTTAATTTCCATCGCATCAGTTTTTCTTTTACTCACCACTTGGGTCCTGCAATTTCAGGCACTGCTCTAAATCTCGCACATCCTTGCTGGCATTGTTCAAGTGGCCATAGAGAGCAACTGCTGCTCCGGTCAGTTCCAGGGCCTTATCCTTTTCCTCTTCCCGCTCATCCTCCTCCTGCTCCTCCTGTTTCTCCACTTTCAGCTGCAGAGGCGACGAAGCATTGTTGTTGGCAATCTGAGCTGGATGCAGCCGTTTGACTCCTTTATCCTTTGGCTGCTCAACATATTCATCACACGATTGCAACTTCAATTCGAGCGTTAGCTTCTTGTCCCTTATCCTTGCATCCCCTTCTTCGTGTTCCTCCAAAAGAGGTGGGGATGGGGAGGGGGTGTGACTGGACACCAGTGTTGAGGAAGATGGGGAGGCGGCTGATAGGAAGGAGCTGCTGTGATTTGCGCTGACATCGCGCATATTTGTGTCAACAGCAGTCAAAGTTCCATCTTTGTTCTCTTCTTCAGGACTCGTTAGGACATCTTCATTCGCAGCCCCGTCATGCTGCTCGCTTGGCTCGAATTTAAAGTTGGCAACTGGAAAGAAGGACGATTGCAGTTGATTATGTTAGTGTTTTGGAATATGAAACTGCAAGGATTTTACATTGCTAAGCTAGTCTTTTAACCTTAAAAGTCTTTTCAAGATATGGTTGGTTAAATAAGGAAAGGGCTTGCAATGGTAACCTAACCTACTTAGAAAATATTTTGAAAATCTTTAATAATTCAAAATCCATTATTACTCAACCCCAGTCATGGTTCTTAAAAAAGTACACCATTTTGTAGGCTTATATATTCAAATCACAGCCCAAGAACCAATCACAAGCATAAATAGCTATCTCTAGAAAAGGGTTGACTGCCCGGCATTTACATAAGCCTATCGTTATGGAATCACAGCAACCCTTTTTTATAACCCACTCACCCCCTAAGCCATTTGAATAAGCTTCTCTTTCTCTCTGGTGGGCCATAAAAAAGGGGTTGATTTACATAAAAAACAAGCGGGCAGAGTCATGCCTTCATTTTAATATTTCCTGCCCCTAGGGGTTGGTTGATGGCCCACTACGCATACTCCTGGAAATATGCTGATAACGTCATATTTTCCTCGCTTTTTCGAGTGGAGAGTGTAGAAATGTTGGAAGGGGGTCGAGCCAGAGGGGGCGACTCTTAAAAAAGCAACCAACCGGGCACATTTCATTGGCTGAAGAGTCAGAACTCCGCATGTGGCCCAAAAAAATAAAGAAAAACATAAAGAACGAACGGGGAAAAATGAAAAATATTTTCATGGCAAGGCGTTGAAATGTCTCTGGGTAACTGATGCTTGAAATAACGGCAGGATATCACCATCATATGTTCATTGAGTCCTGTTCCTGTTGCTTGGGTAATTTCTCTGTTCAGGAATGCCACTAAAAATGACTCACATGGATGGTTCTAAAGTGTGAAAGTTCTTGAATGAAAGGCGAAAATAGGGGAAAAGACTAAATGCTTAAGGAAGGTTAAATCAGGAAAACTTAAGGCATGTGATTTGGGTAGATATTGAAAGTACTAAGAATTCCATATTATTATACATTGTAATGATTAAGATTCGAATCTCTTAATGCACAAATTTGTAATCTCCTTAAACTAGATATACCACAAAGATAAGTCTTAAAAAACCCACAACATCACCATTGTCCATTCCACTTTCCTTTCCCGTTTCCAAGAACTCTCGTCATCTAGTTTTTTATCGAAAAGTATTTAGGATCTGCGATATTTCAGGATTTTAGGACTTCAATTTCTCGCTTCAGCAAACAAATCTCAGCCTGTTGCGCAACCTGAATATCTTAAAAGGAAAATGGATAACTTCTGAGGCCAAGCCGACAGGGATATAATAAGGATAACTGCAACTACAAACGAATTGCAGTATTAAACGAATGACCACAAAGGAGTCTAGAAATTATTAGATTTTTTACCGTTTGACAGCACATTTCAATTGCACAATTACGAGGAAGTGGCAGCACCGAGAAAAGGATCCTCCTACGGTCATAAATTCCCGTCAGCCATGACATTTAATTGAGGAGCTATCGTAGCAGAGAGAGACCTGAACGAGATCGATGTCCTTCCATCTCTCTTACTCACCCCACCTGATCTTGCCAGGTGTAGGAATCAAAGGAGGTGTTGCTGGGGTCCATCCAGAAGGATTCCATGTACCGCAATACAGGAGCATCGGTCGTGGGAACTGCACATTGCGCAAAGGACAATGGATCGAGCGAGCTCACCTAACCAAGTGCAATTTGGCTTTTGTCCCATTGCAACTGCAACTGCAACGGCAACATACACACCCGCTGCGTATTTCGGCACACAAAGTGTAACTGTAACACACTGGCTCAGGGAAAACCCGGTTCTAGACAATAGCGAATCTGTAGAATCGGGAAATGATGATCACTCAGCCTTTGTGATCACTTGGCTACGCACCAAAAAAAACTAAGCGAAACAAAACGCCGGCACAATGGGCCAAAGTGATTATTGTTGCGACTTTTGCTCTTTTGTTTATGCGAAACGTGAATTTATTGCCTCTTCTTTTGCGACTTTTTATATAGTATCTTAGGGTATTATAATATGGGTGGAATTTAAGAAACAGAACAGTGGGAAATATTCCTATAACTTATCATTAGATGAACTTAAGCAATATTTGTGCATATTTGTAGTTTCTTGCTTAAGTTATCGATTATCTTGTACGCTTTTTCTAATTATCGGACAATCTAGTAGGCTATTATAAAGCAGCTGTCAGTTTAAGCAGACCTAATCAAAGTGTGCCACTGTCTAGTCTGTCATACTTCGACTTCGAAAAGAAACTTTTAATCGAAAACTGCAATTAAAAGCTGTAACTATCTCTACTATTTTTACCTTAAAAAATCAATACAAATCTTAGCGAAAAACAGCACTATGAAGACTAATAAACTTGAAATGAGCCTTGACGAAATCATCCGGGCGGATAGCCTTCAAAAAAAACGTTCAGAGTCCCAAAAGGAAGCCAATGGATCTACCAAGAGCTCAGTTAAAGGAACCCGATCCAAAGATGCTCTCAGGATCCGCAAGGGAACTGGAGGCATACAAAAGCGCCCAACCATACGCTATTATGACACCAAGAAATATATGGGACCAACTCGCCTGTTAGTCACCAATTTGGACTACGGGGTGACCGACGCGGACCTGGAGGAACTTTTCAATGAAAATGGCCTGATGGAGAAAGGAAGTGTGCACTACGATAGCTTGGGCAACTCAATGGGCACTGCAGAGTTGATATTCAGACATAGGGGAGATGCCTTGAGAATTATAAAAATGTTTCATGGAGTCCGTTTGGATGGCCGACGACTGAAGATACATCTGGTTAAGATCACGCCCGACTTCAAAAATGGTCTCTTTAAGAGTGGTTCACGCCGCAGCAGTTCCTTCAACAATCCTTCTTTAAGGAGTGATTCTTCCTTCGGGCCACGACATTCCAATCGTGATGGTGGCCAAGATGATGAGGGGACTTGGGACTTCTACGAAGGGGACAACTTTTGGCAACCGTACTAGAACTAAAACTTAGAACTAAAAAGGTACAACGAACACTACACAAGGATTCACTGATGAAAATGAGTTTCATTTATCGCTTTAAATTTTCAAAAATTACAAAATAATTATAATTTACACTACTTTGTTAAGTTGTCACATCGAGCCACTGACTGCATAGAAACAAAATAAACGTTCAATTATTTGAATCTTTTCTTTATGTTCACCATTTATTGTCATACGATTTTCATTTATATTTTCTTCTCATTTTCCTCTTTTCGAATCCCGCCCAATGCATGTATTTGAGCCATGCATAAACTACACTGCCAGCAAATCTGCGGAGCTTGGCGCTCATTTAAATAACGGCGCGCTCTGTTTAATGCGCTTTTGGCACGCAACGCGTTGGTTTTATTTTCTTTTTGCTTTTTGCTTTTTGCTTTTGCATACACTGAGCACAAATAGCGCTTAGTGCGTTCGACCCACTCTTCTTCCTTTTTGACGCCCCCGCTCTTTTTAACACGCCTTTCTACACTTCGCTGCTTGTTTGCATAAATTTCGTGCCAGGCACTTGCGCGCCCCCTTTCGCTCCGTCTCTTTCCCTTCCATACTTTGCATGTGCAACCGCTCGAGACGCGCGCTTCAATGCCCCTCTTTGTCCCCCCACTCGCTCTTCTGCGTTTTTGCGTTTTGTAATTGCAGTTATTTGGCCCAAGACTCGCATTATAAAAGCAAACAACAGCGGGCTGCAAAAATTAGTCTTAAATTGCGTAAATTCATATTAAATACATATATTTAGTTTTTATTTTTATTTCTATTGCATTTAAATTTTTTCGCCAAAGCAAAATGAAGTGAAAATGTGTGGCAAGACCATAATTATGGTGGTTTTTTTCAATTGCTGTCTGTGGAAATTATAGGCTAAGGTTGATATGTTTGAAACTAAGAAATAAATAATTCATTAGTGTTTGATTGAAAAATAATTGCAAAAATTATTATAATCGGAAAACTGTAGGAAAAAGTGTAAGTAAAAGAAAATTTACGATTTTTCTTTGCTTTTCAACTTTTGTGAGTTTTAATATTTCTGCAACATTTCCAAACAAAATATAAATCAAAATTTACAACCATTCCCACGCTACCTCAAAAACCCGCAATATTTTCTTCTTTTTTTAATGTGTTTTCCTCCATTTTTCCTCAATTTTTTCCAATTCAAAATCAATGTTTCTCAAGAAAACACTCAACCTAATGCTGGTGGCCATAAAATCCTTTTTTTGATTTCAAAAAAATACGTTACAAAATTGCCAAAAAACGGCAGAAATATTTTCAAGAGGTTAAATGTCACTTAAGCCGATTCGATTTTCATTTTTTTTCGCACCCTGAGATTTTTTCAGGCAATTACTTGCCGTTTTTTGCAGATTTTCTACCAAAAATTTTGAGCGCGCAAAGTAGATTTCTGATTTTTTCTCGATGGCAGCTGCTCATGATGCCATAAAGGGGTGGAAAAGGGGCGACCATTAAATGTGGGCATGGCTCTAAAATAAAAAACAAAATCTAAAAAACTATATGTACATGAATTTTCAACCCTATTTTGCATGAACATGAATGATAAGCAAAAAACAAAGTTTCCAAACTCCCGAGGGCCAATAAAAAATTGTTTCAAATCAAATAAAAAGTGGATGGGGGTATGGGATGACTATATACAGGAAGAGATATCATTGTGATCATTATAGAAACCCAAAAAAATAAGAGAATCGAAAGCAGCGCGTGCGGGAAAAAGGATGCGCCTTTCGCTCGAGTCCTTAAACCAAGCGTGCTGCGCATGCGCGCCTTGTTTGTTATTGTCCCTCGTGTTGTGTAACCCAATCCCCTGTAAGGGTTAGGATCCTGCTTTAAAATTGTTTCGAGTCTTTCACATATACTCCTTTTTTGAAAACAGAGAATGTTTTGTCGTCATAGCTAAATGTGGCGGAACTTGCAGCTTCCAGTGGCAGGGCATCGCATTTATCATCATTAAAGGCGGCCCTTCGGCACGGCACGGCACACGCATATCGACATCGATCGAATATCCTGCCCCCTATTCGAGATCCTTTCACTTTTGTGCCAAAGGATTGTGGCCACTGCGGGTCGCAGCTGCTCTCCCTCTATTTGTTTGGAAATTAAATTTGACATGCAAACATTTTCACATTTTTCCCCTCTTTTTTGGAGGTGTCCCCTGTTCTGGCGAAAGGATTTTCGATTTCATTGGTTCTCAATTCAAATTTGAGCTGTCGCCGCCGCTGACTTCCATGTAATATGATACATGAGTGAAAGTAATTTGCGACAAATTTCCACATTTTCCATTTCCATTTGGCAGACGGCAAACTACGCACAAAAGTGAAAGCCATGCAAATGCCTTAACAGATGTTTTTCCGTTTTTTTTTTTTATTTCAACTTGGAAAATTGGTTTTTCGTCTGGCTATGTGGCAAGCGCAGACGAAAAATTTGTTAACTGAAAATGTTAACAAGCAAAATTAATGAGCCCTGCAGCATGAGCAAGAAAATATTATTTACTTTTCCATTTTCCAGCAATTCTTCTTTTTCAGAGCAAAAAGTTATTAATTTAGATGCTTGGCTGAGATATGTGTTAAGTGAATAATTATGGGTTTGCCCATAGGAGGTGTGGTTGGGATTGAGCGAATGGAAATTTTCAATTAAAAGTTTAGCTTTCGGAGCATGAATTTGGTAAGCCAATAAACCTACAAATCATATTACTAAAACTATAAATTTTATGGTTTTTTTTATTATTTACTAGACTTGTTTCTTGTTATTTTTTTAAATTATTCATAGGATAAGCCCAGTACCTGAAATTTTAACTATTTTTTGATATGCCCATTCATTTATATCATATCAACCTGTCTCCATGAAATGGCACTTTCCTTCTTAAGGATAAATCCCTCTAACAATAACCCTGATAGATGTTCCATTTAGGAACCCGCACAAACACTTTCCCATGCAAATTTACTTTAAGGTGATTTTGCATAAGATTGAGCTGGAAAACAACCCTAAGAACCATCCTGGGAAACAGTCCTAAGATGAGGCAATCTCACCTGCAAATCCATGGAAAATTGCATGGCAAAAACCAGGTAGTCAGCTGGCGGCAAGGACAACTTTCACTGGATTGCCTTCCACTTGAAAGGAGATTGCACTGTAAGGAGTACGAAGACCGAAAGGATCCGAAACTCATTTCGCATTATCCTATTGATGGGCACTCATTATTATTTATTATTTCTCTCTCTTTTTTTTTTTTGAATATGCAGCAAGGTGTCTTGCAGGGACGTGGGAATGTAAACAAGTCGCCTATCTTGGGGGAGTTTTCTTCTTATTTTGTGTTTTTATTTTCCTTTTTTTTGCAAAGGATTTTCCTCAATAGTCTGCTCCCGGCACTTGCTGGGCCTTCCATAAATTAAACGAAATTTAATTGTATTTGGAACAAAAATGAAAGACCCAGGAAGGGAATTGCCATCCACCCTTCCTCCAAGTTGATTCCCATCTCTTTTAGTTTTTATTTTTTCTAGCCAAACGGATATTGGGCCAATGATTTGATTCGATTGTCTGGGGCAGTCGGTCAATAATGCTGCAACTGGGAAATGGGGAATGAACACGGAAGTGCACCAGTACATAAATCAAATGAAGGCCAATTGTCGTGGATAAAAGGGAAATGCAGGTGTTCTGTCAGTTAAAGATATTACTGAAATATTGGGTTAGAAATCTGCAAATTGATCGTCAAAGGATGTCAAAATAAAACAAGGAAACTTCTTCTTTTGATGATTAGCCTCTTGCTTCTTTCTGTTCTCTTAAATGATATCAACCTTAAAGTTGAAGTTCATCTTAAACTATCTCAAAAGTCATTAATCTAACATCTTAGAGCATTCAACTGCCTGAAGCTCAGCTGGCTGTCTTTGTACTCGTAATATGCTCAAACATTTTGCCCCACATTAGTCATGGTAATTGCCAGCAATAATTGCAATAACAATTAGTACAATTATTGCAATTTACTTGGCTCGTATATGAGTTTCTGTAATTTACAATTTGCAAAAACCAAACTCATTATTTTTTTTTTTTTGCACACTTTTCAAAATCGAAATAAACGCAGCAAACTATTTGAATTTCATTATAATACCGCCTCGCCCCCCTCTCTCTCTCTCTATTTCTAAACAATCTAAATAAATTTCAAATATTTCCATTTCGCTTTGTTAGTTACCTGAGTTTTTCGCACTTTTTTCCTCCGCACAACACGCAATATTTTCTCCCCTCTGCCAGTGCCACGCAAATTTCCATATCTTTATGCAAAAAGAAAAAATAACGAAAGAAACTCGTTGCACTTCATAAATTTTTTAACTGGCTGTGGCAGCAGAACCCCCTAATTAGCTTTACAGTTTTACTGGGGATGCGTGCCACACAGTCAAGCCGACTTAAAAAATAAAAAAAAAATAAATAAAACAAAGAGAGAAAAAAACCAATGCGAAAAATCATTGAGAAATGCTTTCAACTTTGCCGCTGCTGAAATGTGGCAGCCAAAGATCAAAGTCAAGGATCAGAAATCTCGGCTCTGTTCTTGTCTTGTTATGATGATTTCTTCGGCTGTCGTCTTCTTCTTCTCATCCTCTCAGTTAGCCAATCCATCCAGCCAGCCAATCCATCCATCCAATCCATTCATAATAATGCGAAAATCGGCCACAAAAGTTAAGAAAATCAAAAGCGGCAGCGAAAAAGACTCAAGAGAGGGGAGTAAAGGAAACAAAAAAAATTTTGCTCAGCTTGAAACAAAAGCCGCTAAACAAGTCCGTTTCGAGGCTCCATGCCCCATGCCCCATGCCCCTTCGTGCACCACTTGCTGATCTTCTGACAGCGTTAAACGAGCTACAAAAAAAAAAAAAAAACAATCCCCTCGTAGTTGACATTCATCTTGGAGTCAGTCAAACAGTACGAGAATTCCCCAAGAAGTCCCAGGCTGTCTCTAAGCTCGGCTTAAAAACAAATTGACATTGAAATTGTTAAAAAAAAATAGTTAAGAAATGTCAGAGAGTTGGGGATCATGGTTGTA